TCATCATAAATGACACAAGGTGACGGGCGCAGTGGCAGTGCCCCTCAGATCTTTGCAATTTAAAACTCTGAGTAACATTACAATTGCTATGGACAGGCGTGTCGCTTATCACCAGGCGCACGACTTCCCGTCACTTAGTATTATAAAGAAAATGTGAAAAATGTTTCACGTACTAAGAGGGGTTATTTTACATTATAGAAGTTTCTTGCAGTTTGACCAGTGAATTAACATGAATATGTAACAATAAGAATTCAAAAAGTTGAATTCTTTTTAAAAATAAAGATTTCAAGAAAGGAAAAAAATCCATTTAGATTAGGGTTTCTTAACCTGTGGTCTATGGACTCCTAAGGGGTCCGTGTAGTGAACGCCGGGGTCTATGGCGAGCCTACCTAATATAATAATGCATTTATATAAAAATTGGTGTACAATATGTTGTGAATAACGGCGCTGTCCCATTATGTCGTGACGACATATAGTAGTGTAGTTTAAAGTATCGTGGCTTAAATATTTCAATGAAGTTGTTAACATATAGTACAACACGATTTAATGTCGTTCATAATTTTTTTGACTTACGACGACAGACTGTCGTGATAATGGGAAGAACTAGAACGATACTCGTCAGACAATAAATAAAACGGCACGATAAAAATGTGACGACAGATAATCGCAGCTTCACATGATTCTGTCGTGCAAACGATAAGGAGGCAGCCGTGAACCGATAAATTGTCGTCACGATCTAGTGGGAACAGCCGGACACGACAGTAGTTCAAGCACAAAACAAACGTCCACGACACAGTCACGACAGACAGTCGTGATATGGGTATATGTTAGACGCTACAGTTGTCCAACAATGAATAAAACGTTACGACATAATGGGACCGCGCCCTAAATAGATACAGTGCGCGTGACAATTTTGAATTTTCGCGCCCTTTGAAGGTTATTCATTATTGGAGCGAGCGGGATGCGGGTCAAAAAATTATGCAACCCGCGAGTCTTTCTTCTTCTCCATCTTTTAGGAAAGGGACCGTACGCTCTTTGAAATTTTGAGATTTTTAATAGTAGTTATAGGGTTCACAATAGGCCTAAAACGTCGGTGCTTTACCCTTCTCTCACTTACTCTTTAACTCTTCGACGAACTCAGTGGCTCTACGTGTTATATCGTGGGCGCCGCATGAGAAGGTCCCGGGTTCGATTCCCGGTAAGTTCGTTGAAAATGAAATGAAAGTTGAAAATGATTTCGAAATTATTTTGGGGTGTTATATATATAATTATAATTGTACAGGGCTCGTAAGTTAGTCTATATAGAAGGTACTAGAGCAACAGTGTTGAAAAATCATACAACGAGATAGCAATACCGCCAATTGCCCCATAAAAACAAACGAGATTAAACGTTCAACACTGCTATTTAAAACACCCATTTCCCACCCACGATTTCGTATAACAAGTCGAAATAACGTCTGACCGTTTTACAGCTAATGGCGTTTTAAACGGGTAAACATTTTTGCGTAAAATTATTAAATATCAAAATATTATGAGTAGTAAGGTGGCGTAAGAGGAACATTATTTTGAGTCAAAAGTTTTGAAACATGAAGGAAGAACAGATAGTATTATAAGAATTTTGAAGTACACTAAACTTGCCATTGTTTATCATCTTCACATATAATTATTAATACAAAGATCGAACACTAAGAATACATTCCTTCGATCTGGCTGGATTTGAACCAGCACCTTTCAACAAACCGTGCCAGACGCAATGCCAACTAAGTCACGGAACGAATTAGCGAACCTTACGAATTTTTCTATGTGCTTGCTGCTGATCTTTGGTTTAGGTTTGTAACTACTTTTTTTCCGTAGCGCCATCTGTGAGAAATCTATTTCTTCCCTCAGCCAGGTACCTTTACAGCTACCTTTGCAGCTGACTAGAGACGTTTTAATTTTTTTAAGCTGTATTGGATGTCACGATGTTTGACCACCATGATGTTCAATCATTTTTAGAGTGAAGAAATAGATTTCTCACAGATGGCGCTACGGAAAAAAGGCGTTAAAAACAAAGATCCGACAACAAACACATAGAAAAATTCGTAAGAACCGCTAGTTCGTTCCGTGGCTTAGTTGGCATAGCGTTTGGTAGATGATGCTGGTTCAAATACAGCTTCGTTTCAACTTTTTCTTAGTGTTCGATCTTTGCATTAATAATTATAACAAACTAGTGGAGTAATTTCACAAAAATAATTGAATATCATGGTGGTCAATCATAGTGACTTTTAATACACTTAAAAAAATTACAGTTATTATTATTAATTACAATTATTTTACATAATATGTTAACAATCATTACGTTAAATTCAATAGCATTTAGCGTTTCACAACTGTCAAGTTTTTTCCACCTTTCGGATTTGGAGCATCGATCGTAGCGACATCTCTTTAAAATCGATTAAACTAATTTGTTTCTCTGTTTTATCGACTGTGAGACTATAGTGCTAATCTCCTTACATTATGAGTTAAGGTTTCAAGTCACTGTTTCCCCGGTGTTTCTCTTACCCCATCCACTATAACAATTGTTTAAAGATAAAACTCCACCATTCCGTTGTAGTAAGACAAGTTAAGAAAGCAAGGTCCAATTTGGGGCAACAGGGACTTATATAAATATAAGTGCTTCTATAAAATCCTTACGATATTTAAAAAATGCCACTAATGAAGACGATATAATATAAAATAATAATATAACGAAGTTTAAGACCATTGTGAAACAAAAGCGCCCGGCAAAAGGTTTTTTTTAACAAAAATCCGTTTACTACCAACTGACCAATGCGTTTATATCTCTTGTAAGTCGTAAATAATAAATATAAAGAAATATTTAAGTACAAATCGCAAACCCTGAGTTGAGTGAGACTGCGTGACCTATTTATAGCTTCACTTGGTACCATAAAAAAATACAGCAATCTAAAACCAGAACGTAGTATGTATATACCAGGGCCAGGACGGTAATTTTATTTTTCTCATACATTTTTCTTGTTTTCGCACAGGGATACGGTGTCGTTTCAACTTTACTACAAAGGCGCCTTCGTGTCTAGACGGCGGATAGCTTTGGAAAATAAATTGTTTGATATTTGCGAATACGGCAACTTTGTTCGCATTTGGGTCAAGATTTGCGTTGTCTCCCTGTTTATGAGTGTGCCCTAATTTTCTTTAAACTTACTTTATAACACGTCTTCTATAAACAACATAAATATTTATGTCAAAATTTGATATCAGTTCCACCAATTCAGGCTTCGAAGGTAACTCGCAGTGTTTACATTTCATACACCTCTGAAAGCCCGAAAACCAATTTTAAATGCTCGACGAAAGTCCTATATTTTTGTAACATATTTTCTTAGTTATTAGTCAACTTAGAACTTATTTCCTGAATAGAGTCTATTTCATGTAAGGTACGTTTATTATCGTTTTATTGTTCTAGATAACAAGACCAGACAATATGGCGCCTAGATGCTCACTATAGAATAAACTCAACTTTTATAGGCCAGAAGCCCGTTTACTGCGTTTATTTTTACCGCAATACGTAATTCTTCAAAGTATATGTTTATAGAACCGATAATCTTTATTGTTGGATTTATTGTGATAGGCCACTTTGAAGATGAGAATAGTCTTGTTTGTTATTAAATGTTTGGATATTTTTTCCCGTAATGTGTGCCACAAGGAACAGTATTTGCTCTCCTTATTTTTAAAGAAAAACAATTGCAACGAGGACCTATGCTATGTCCCAAATTGTTTTAATTATATGGATGAAGTAAAATGTACTTGAAGAGTATGACTATCTATTTGATTGCTATGAAAATACAAATACATACACAATGTTGTGTCATGACAAAGGGCGAACGACTGCTTTTTCTAAATTGGTTCGTCATATAAAAAAAGCCTCAAATTGAAGTGAAATTCAATAAGTAATTAAATGGCTATCTTATGAAAAAAACTGGTAAAAGGATCACGATATTTCTTAATAATGGGATCATAGTTTCTCAATAAAATTATTGTGATTTCATTCTTTTAATATTTAATATTCTTTTGAAAATAACAAAGTTGTGTCAACTGACTGTATGATTAATTCTTTTACTTTTTTAGAAGTTAGCTCTCCATGTACCTCCACTAAATAATATGATAAAAAACAAATATTTATTAGTAAATGCTCTGGTGTTAAGTTTTTGTTATTCCTTTTTACAATGACTTTGTCTTTATGAAATATAAATGAAAGGAAAATGCTCATTCCATCAATTGTAATTGCAAGACTGCTCGGTAACTTTTATGAGGCAGTAAAACTGATATTATTTGCAATGAATTTTCTTTACAATGTTCCTGTTTCATTGCAATTACCAAGATTATGAAAAACGGTAATCCACGCTGTTTCTTATAAAACAAAAGCAAAATGCCACGTATTAAGTAAATAGAGGAGGACTCAGTAAAGTTCCTTGTGGCACACATCAAGAGTTTGTCCGTCTAAATTACAAATTTAGACAAAAATATTAATTTATGGTAGATTTTCTATGTAAGATATTAATATTGGAGATAAAGTTTATAGTTTACGAAACGTCTAAGTTATATTTGCCGACTTAGTAACAAATGTAATTCTTCAGACGAGATCGTTTTCTGAACAATCTTCCAAATGAATCTTTTATAGCAGCTCGCAAAGGCTGAAGCACTAAAACGAGTTTCCTTAGCCATTTTAAAGGGATTTGGCTCTACAACCGTTTATTGGTTTTTTTTTTCAAAAATTTTGCCTCGTAAAACAGATCAATCTGTACGGTCCTAAGAATGGCTTACTTTATATGTTTATTTATATATTACTTTATATTCACACACGTACACTAGACTTTTTTGGTCAATCTAACTATTACTATCAGGTGAACGGAAAAATCGTCAAGCCATATTTTTAAAGAATTGTTTCTAGAAACTTTTTTTTGCCGCTATTCTGCAAAAATATGTTTTCGCCAATATTAATTACTTACCTGAGCCTTCTCGTGTTTATCTCTGAACCGGTCAGCATCCAGCTGTGCTGTATCACGCTCCTTCTGCAGTCTCGCCGCCTGGCCCAGTGCTTTGTCCAGCTGTGACTGAAGCGACTCAAAGTCGTACGCCTGCTTCTCGCGGTCAACTTGTAGCTGGCAAAGAAATTCTTAAATAAATATTTTAAACAATACATTTCGATGACGCAGAGTCAAAAGAAAACGACAATCTGGCGAGGACTATCACTCTACTCATGCATCCAGTATAGTTTATGTTACGATTCTCACTGATTTAAAAACGCTTCAAACCATCTCAACGTCCAAAGTTACATTTGATGATTATCATTTAAGAACTAGAAAAACCTAGAGTCAATAAAAATTATGCTAATGATCACCTTTCTGTTTTCAGCAGCAGCTTTATCAAGTTTCTCTTGCAGCTTATCGATCTCAGAGTGAGCAGAATCCAGTGACGCTTGAAGTTTATCTTGCTGCAGTTGAGCCTTGCCAAGTGTTGCTTGAGTTCGTTCAAGTTCTTCACGAGCTTTGTCAAGTTCGGCCACTGCTTTATCGCGTTCGGAGTGCAGACGACTGATTGAGGATTGTATTCTACAAAAAACAATTAATATTTTTGAATATTTTTACTATTTATTATCTGCATTTCTGATCATCATATTTTTCATCATTTTCATAATCCGTAAAGGTAAGAACCATATCTACCTTGGTTGGAATATTTTTTATAAATCAAAGTTATTAGTTATTAGTATAAATGTAAATAGTTAGTCATTGTTAGCACAAAAAGATTAGCGAAGTAACTCTTCACCAACAATTTATGGCATTTTACGTATCATAACAGAGTTGGACTTTAAATGGACAAGCGTAACCAATCTCTTGAGATTATTATAATAATGCACTCACCTATCGTACTCTTCCTTCAGACTGTCCTGCTCAGTTTGTGCATTTTCAAGTTTAGCTTTGAGACGATAAACTTCACCTTGAGACTTCTCCAATTTATCCTGCAAAGAACTAGCCTCAGATCTGGCTCTTTCAGCATCCGCTTGAGTAACTCGCAACTCAGCTTGGGTTCTTCTCAACTCAGCTGCGGACTTATCAGCCTTCTCTTGTACCCTATCAAGCTCTTGAGATGTTGTCAATGTGCTCCTACCGAACGTAGTCTGAGATCTTTCAAGCTCATGCTTAAGACGTTCGTTTTCTAGCTCGAGTCTTGCCAAGCGTTGTTTAGCTGCTTCCCAGTCGGCTCCAGAACGCCCAACTTCGCTAGCTGCTTTATCAAGTTCTGCCTTAGATTTTCCAAGCTCAGATTGGGAGCTCTCAAGTTTGGCTTCGAGTCTATCCTTCTCGGCCTGAGCTCGTTCAAGTCTTGCTCCTAGTTTCTCGACTTCACTCTCTAGAGCATGTAGTTTCATCTTGTAGTCAGCTATTTCTCTTTCATGGAGCTCTCTTTCTTCGTTCTTTTCGTGTTCCGCCCTATCTCTTTGTTCCCTGAGCTGTTGGATTTGTTTCTCTTTGTCCCCTATTACCTCTTCGAGAGATGAAAGGGCACCCTCGGAAGAGCAATGGTGAGCTTGCATTGCATTAAGTCTAGCTCTTGCCATATCGACTTGATTATCTTTTTCTTTAAGTAGGTCTTCGAGATTTTCGATCTGAAAATAAATTTTAAGTCAGTTTATTTTGAAATTTTGTAAAGTGTAACAAGTATATAGCAATATACAAATGCAAATACAATAAAGGGAGTAAATAAAGGGAAACAAACAGATAATAACAACAAAAACATACCTTGAACATAACAAGCTGCAACACAACCAATACGAATCGAAACAAAAAATATTTTAACACAATTTAGCGTCAAATACATGAAAAATAAAAATAAAATGTAGCCAAATACACAATTGCAAGGAACAAATAAGTAAAATAATAAATACTGAAGAATTGAAAAAATATAATAATAATTATTATTATACAATTAACATATTCGACCATAATGTGTTACATCATGAATTTTAAAGATATACGGCGTATGTTACCTAATTTTATAATCATTCACATTTGAAACATTATTGCAGTAGCGCCAGTGACGGTCAAGTTGTAAAGTAATCGTGCATAGTGGTATGAACTTATAATGCAGAGGAATGAGAGTCACATTACTTAAAAGATATTACAGGTAGACTAAAACAAAAGGTGTATGGATTGTATGAAATAGGAAGTGAACAACGAGGTAACGGATGATAGAGAGACGAATGGAAGAAGAACAGTTGCTGAGCTAACCTCAAATAATAGAATAAAGGCAGGATGGTGATAATTTATTTTGGGAGTCAGTATAATAATCTTTGGTAATAACGATTATTCCAAAGATATTTATTTTCTCCTATCACTGTGTAAAGACTGGCTACCAATATCACGTTTATACTTAAATTTATATTTTTACCAGTTTATAAACTGACAAACAGACAGATGGCCCACCTGATGGAAAGTGGTTACCGTCGTCTACACATTTGCAGTACCAAGGTGGTATCCTTAATTATATATCTCATATGCGTTTTCGGTCGTAGGATATAACCTCTTTAGTCGTCTGTGTTTTCTCCGGTTCCGCCCACCTTTAAATCCGGAACACAGCTGCTTTACGGCAGAAACAGGTATTTCATTGATGGTGGTTTTTGATTAGCTTAAGTACTTTTTTAGATTTACTTAACCAAAAATACGCAGTAAAAGTTGACCAAACGAACCCCTTTCAAATGATTTAGTTTTAAATAAACTCGTTTTCACTGGCAAATAAGTACGCGTCCAAATATTGGTTTAGGACGGCGTTCAAGACGGCGATTGCGCGCCCTCGGGGAGACTGTAATAAACTTTTGGGGTTTGATGTAGCAAAGGTAAGTCCACGTCAATTGTCTTTTAACTATTGTAAAGATGGTGTACCAGTCTGTACACCACCATAGCCCACGGTAGTTGCCGTAAGTACAATTCGCTTCTACAGATTTAAATCTCTATAACGTTTGTTTTTCTAACAATTTTTGAGGTAGTCTTTAATGACGTAAGTATGTACTTATATGTAAGTATACGAATATCGTTTGTACACCTAGAGATAAAGTGATCCCTGTGACATTTCGGACAGTCATTTCATGGAATCGGAACTGATACAAATCAGATGTAATAGTTACAAAATAGTGATACGGTTGCTGCGAGCTAAGTTGTAAACACGGATATCCCATCTTTACAGAAGTTAAAAGTGAGTTGATATCACTTTATTTTTACGACTAAGAGTTCTAAAAATTTAAAATAGACAGCCCTAAGGATCACAAATAACCGTCTAAAACAAGCGTCCTAAATCAATGTTTAGACGTATTTGCTAATGAAAACAAGTTTACTTAAACGTAAATTTTTCGTAAAGGGTCTGGTCTGCTATAATGAAAAATCATTACAGTGCCTAACTTGATAACTTGTTATTAACAGGATCGTATCAGTACACAGAAAAAAAGGAATTCTACTAATAAGAGAGAGAAATTTCTCAAAATATTTGCTAATTCTGAAAAAATATTTATTAAAAGTAATAAAATATTGGCATTACAAAAATACTGCTTATCTTTTTCTAATACAATTTTACTCTTAACTTTATTCTAACTTTTAGACAAATACCTTCACTTCAAGATTTTATTTCATTTGTAATCAATTAATTGGACATTACTTACATCAAGAAATTTTTACCTCTTACATCAAATTTAAATAATCTTAAATGAATTCAAAATTTCTTGGGTGTATAATAAGAAAATATATTCTTAAACAAAAAAAAGGTTTAGTTTGCTATTCAGATTAATATTCTAAATTCTAGAGTCTATTTTTAAAGCTAGTTTGTTAGTGTGTTATTTGTAGTCATAATTTAAGAAATTTGGTTTCAGCATGAAATCAAGCTACAATTGTAACAAGTACAACTTCAACATGCAATTAGTTCCATCGCGCCACTGCTAGATGGCATTAGTTGTACTCTGAAACGCGCTATCGTTTTGTTAACTTCAATAGTATAAACTTTATATTTTTTAAATTTAATTATAGAAGATTGATTTGTGCTTTTGGCAGTACTTATAAATGCGAACAGTTCTTTTCGATGATGAAAATTAATAAATCAACACATCGTACAAGACTGACTGACGATAATTTGGAAAATTCTTTACGTGTTTGTATCAGTGGAATTAATCCAAATATCGATGGATTAGTTTCCCAAATTCAAGCTCAAGTGTCTCATTGATTGATTTTCGTAGTTTGTAGCAATTGCAAATTTATCGATTTACCGATATGATGTTGTACCATTTTTTTAAATTTCATTTTTTAAATAAATTGTACTAGTACTAGAATAACATTGTGATATTATTTTATGTCTGACATCTATTGACACTAATTACTTTAAAATGCACTAAGCATTTTTAAACGCGGCCCGCGAACCTATTTGCATACTAAAGTTTGGCCCTCAACATGTTAAAGGTTGCCCATACCTGGTATAAAATCATCTCTTATATTTTGAATTGTTAATGTTTTCTGCCGCTGCTGTAGCGTTTATATGGCACTGATTGGTACTCAAGTATTTGACAAGATTCCGTTCTATTTCTGCTACTTTAAGTTTTGGCACTGAACTATATGTTCTCACGCTGTTGAGATATACTGTTGGGTCCATAACTCTGTAAATTTACGCTTTTTGATATTAGAAAACATACGTTTTCAGTCAAATAATTAAGTACCTCTCAATTTGTCATTCTTTTTTTTTCCAAGTCAAAATCGGACATTTCTAATAAATATTTTGTTGAATCTAGAGTAGCTTTGTGACTTGAAGTAAATTAATTTGCTCTTGGATTAAATATGTCAGTCTTATAACTAAAATACACTTTTGAGACGTTTTCTTACTATTATCAAGTAATTTCAAGGATCATTTTGTTGGATTTAATAAATTTGTCTTCATAAAAACAAATTTGTCATTTTCTAAGTATTCTGATTTTACCGTGTACTATGTAGTCTATTTCTACACGAACTACGGCTAAGAAGTTGTGATACTAAAAACTGTCTCGTGGACCCCAAACTGAGTTTTAAACTTTAATAACTAGATTTACAAATAGATACATACAAAATACTAATAATGTTTGTTAATGGGGTGGACATACACTATGAGACTACCCGCTAAGCTCTTGACAATCTCTTGCGCTTTTTCCACTCGAGTCAGTCATACACGGTGAAAAATTACAGGGATAAGTATTTCTGTAATTTTTAATAATAAATATTCCTGCAATTTCTCACCAGGCCTATTTTGAGGACATCCTTAATCTGGTTGACATAATTATGTGAGTGAGTGCGAACTTTTGCTCAAGTTACACCTACATACCTCTCATGGAAGAATTGCATAAGTGGAATTACGTCAAACATGTTTATTGCTCCATATATTTATGATCTTTAAGACATTCTAATATTAATTACAACTTATAAAAAGTTACTCATAAATAAACTTAAAAAAAAATATCGACCTCAAAAGTTTGCATAATCCGTTGTCTCTGTGTAGGAATTATTGAATAAGTTTTATTGAAATCTAAAATTAACGGAAATTGGAAATTCAATTCTTCATCTAATATGCCACGCTTAGATGTGGAATAAATATTCTTTCTTCAAATTTGAATGGGACCACCAATCACCTTTCCTACAAGAATGGAAATCTTCGGAATCGGTGCACAAATGTCGGAGTAAACGCGTCGAGTCGAATTGAGAACCTTTTTCTCCTCTTTCTCTCTCTCTTGACTATTAGCAATGAAACTATTTATTCGGACATAAATCGCGTATATTAATAAAAAATAAAAATTACAGATTCGAAAACATAGTTTTACTTTCAATATGTAACAATCACGAAGACATACGAACTCGATAGTGTCACATGTTCGAATATCACGCAATTGCGGATTATTTTTACAGTTACTTACTATAAAAGCGGATGACATTCTACCAAAATTCACAATCATTTACATGTTTCAGAATTGACATTGGTGTAAATATGTAAACGTGTAAACCCAAGGGCCGGCAGCTACCTAGCCCAACGTATTAGGATAGGTTTATAAAAAGGTTAACGCTACCAGCAGCATTTTGAGCACCTTGCCGCGGCGGGCGACCCAATTTTAGTTTTTATTACTATATTAGTTAGTATTTTTAATTTTCATTACAATATTATTTAAATCTACAACAAGTATTTACGTCTTTTTCAATATTAGTTATTATTGTATAGTATTTTGCCACAAAACACTTTTCAGACGTAAATAACTTTATAAAAAATGCAGAGAAAAGGTCAACTAAGAAACTTCTAATATATATGTTTCACTAATCTTTTTTTTTTTAAACACACAAAAACAAAAACTAAACAAATTCATAAGTACAAACAAAATCTAGCTCAACAATGTTCCGGAACAATAAACAAAACTGAAAGCGTACAGCGTTATTACTACTAAAGTTACAAACAACAACAAAAGGACTAATTTAGAGGGACAGAAAGGTAACAAAATAGGAGTGGAAAATTACGCAAGAATTATTAGGATCTCAGTTTGATCAGTAATCGGTATTTAACATCATTAGGGCAACTTTGATTGATGTGAAATCGATATTCGACGAATAATTTACAGCTAGA